TCCCTCTGGTGTGCACATATATACCATATATGTGATTAGCAGCATGGGGTTTAGTGGTGATTCAACCAGATGAGTGGGGGTCCTTTGTTTCTCAGGCCTTGTTAACTGTAGTATCACCTTACATTTTGGATTTAACATTCACTTATCAGGGAGATCAAGTGCCGTTTGTCTCTTTGCTCTTGGCTTACCTCACTCAACACGATTTCTTCTAGTTCCATTCATTTCTCTACAAATGCCATTATTTTGTCCTTTCTAATAGACCTAAATCTTTCAAAGTATCATAGGAAAATACTTGACTAGGCTGGGAATGTGGCTTAGTGGTAGATTGTTTGTCTAGCATGCATGAGGCCCTGGGTTCAATTCCTCAGTACCACATAAACAGAAAAGCTGGAAGTGGCTCTGTGGTTGTGGTAGAGCACTAGCTTTGAGCACAGAGAGGCTCAGGGACAGTGCCCAAGCCCTGAGTTCAAGCCCCATGACCAGCAAAAAAACAAAAACAAAAGCAAAACAATAACAATAACAAACAACTTAACTACATGATCACAAGCAACATCTTCCTGACTAGAACTCAAATAGCTCAGGAAATAAGAGCAAGAATTTATAAATGGTATTACATCAAATTAAAAGGCACTGTATAACTACTATCATGAAAAGACAACTCATAGAATGGGAGAAAAAAAATGCCAGCTATTCATTGGAGAAAGGATTGACATACTGAACATATAAAGAACTCAAAGAAGTAAAATACAAAAGAGCAAATAAATGTAAGCAATAAATAGGCATACAAACTGAGCCAGCACTTCTTAAAAGTAGTAAAAATGGCCAATAAATGTATGAAGAAATATTCAGTAATCTTAGCCATCAGGAAATGCTATGCAAAACTGCATTTTGGTTCCATTTCATCCTTTTCAGAATGCCAATCATCTGGAAAACCCACACATACACACTGTTAGTGGCAATGCAAATTAGTGTAGCTACTATGAAAATCTGAATAGAGGTTTCTAAAAAAACTAAAAATAGAACTACCCCATAATACAGTTATAAATCTATGGCATAGACCTGAAGGAATGTAAAAAATAATACAATGAGATACTGTAACAGGTGCTTAAAAACTGCATTTGTTGAAATGTTCCTTACTTGGGCCTCCAAATTAATTAAAATCAGGAGAAAAACTGACTATCCCACCTCTGTTTTGCATAGGTGTCTTTTGCCTTGAGCCATTCCCTTCAGCAGTTGCCTTACAGCCCTTATGGAAGCCAGGAAAGCTTGGCCAAGAGACTAGACCACCTGATAGGCATCAATAATTCTTTTTTCTTCTTTCTTTCCTCCTTCCTTCCTTCCTTTTTTTTTCTTGCAAGTCCTGGGGCTTTTGAACTCAGGGCCTGGGCACTGTCTCTGAGCTTCTTTTTGCTCAAGGCTAGTACTCTACCACTTGAGCCACAGCGCTACTACTGGCCTTTGGAACCCAGGGCTTCATGCATGCTAGGCAAGCACTCTACCACTAAGCCACCTTCCCAGCCCAGCATCAATAATACTTATTTTTCCAAATCACCACCTAACCAATATAATCTCAAGATAATGGACTCTCAGATCACCTTTAATGCCACCTCTGACCACCAAAACATGCCTGTGACTTGGGGCTGCTCATGCACTCCTCTCACTCCCTACCCTCTAGGTTTCTGTCTACTTAAATCTATAACTCTTGTCTGTACTCTGAAAAGATGGGTTGAAGTGCTATCTTCTCATGGGTGCCATGTAAATCTTTTTCGGCTTTCACTATCCTCCCTGCCCTCTTGTCAGCAGTATTTGTTTTTGAACTAAGCTGGTACTCTGCTACCTGGAGTCATGCATCCAGCTGGGCTTTCTTGTTGTTGTTGTTTGTTTGTTTAGGAACAACTTTAGACACTTTACCTAAATTTGTGAGTTAACACAGTATCTATTTGTCTCTTTCAGTATTTAACATTTTGTTACATTTACTTTAGAGATTGGTAACATGTTGTTACATTTATTGTCTCTGTTTCTTCCCTAATCAATTGCATGTAAATTGTAGACAGAATGATACTAAATCTCAGCATGGCTTGCTTAAACACAAGGTCTCTAAGACCCTATCACATTCTTGACTTGTAATATTGGTGTAATGGCCAATGGTCCTTTTAATGGGATGTTTGTTATTGTTGTTTTGTTTTTGGTTATTGTTCTTTGTTTCAGTACCCAAAAAAGAATCTCACATGATGGGCTGGGAAGGTGGCTCAGTGGTAGAGTGCTTGCCTTGCATGCCTGGGGCCCTGGGTTCGATTCCTCAGCACCACATAAGCAAAAAGAAAAAAACTGGAAGTGGCGCTGTGGCTCAAGTGGTAGAGCACTAGCCTTGAGCTGAAGAGTTGAGGGACAGCGCCCAGGCCCAGAGTTCAGGCCCCACGACCTGACATACACATACACACACACACACACACACACACACACACACACACACACACAGAATCTCACATGACATGACATTGAACTATTATGTCTCTCTCCCTGTTCATTTTTTTTTTTTTTTGTTGGTCATGGGGCTTGAACTCTGGGCCTGAGCACTCTACCACTTGAGCTACAGCCCCACTTCTAGTTTTCTGGTGGTTTATTGGAGATAAGAGTTTCTCAGAGTTTCCTGCCCGGGCTGGCTTTGAACCGTGATCCTCAGATCTCAGCCTCCTGAGTAGCTAGGATTACAGGCATGAGACACTGGCGCCCGGCTCCCTGTTCATTTTTAACCTAGAACAACTATACCTTTTATTTTCAGGGTATTGTGTTTTTAAAGAGTACAGAGCAGTTATTTGTTTAGAATTGGAATTTTCTGATTAGTTCCCTTTTATCAGGTTCAGATTAAACATTCTTGGCAAAGCCTAGCACGGTAGTACATGCCTGTAATTTCAGCACTGGGGCAGCCTAAGCAGGAGGACCATAAATTCCAGGAAAGTATGGGCTACATAGAGAGATGTTTTCTTAAAGAACAAAACAACAAAAACATATTCAGCATTTTGACAAGTAATGCTACATCCTTACAAGTTAAAACCTAGATACCTAGATTCCCCACTTTCAGATAACTCTGATGTTAGATTTTGTTTTTTGTTTTCTCTTAAAATGAAAATACAGCCAATTAAAAAGTTACCCCCTTAAATTTTGAGTTCATAGAAGCCCTCATAAAAACTGTCCAGAGAAGCACCAGGCACTGTCTATAATCTTTGTTACTTGGGAGGTAAAGATCAGGAGGATAGAAGTCCAGATTACCTCTAAGAATAAATAAATACCCTATTTGAAAAAAAAATGACAAAAGCATAAATGGCTGGGAATGTCATTGAGTGAGAGCACTTGACTGGCAAGGGCAAAGTACTGATTGCAAACTTCAGTAGTACAAAAAATAAAAGTGTTCACAGAAGATAAAAGTAGTGGGGAAAATATTGGAATGAAGTTTAAGGTTTAGTGCACATATGGTCAATAGTTAGGTCCCCCTCCCTCCTTTCCACAAATCTCTTAAAATCTTCATTTATTAAAAAGAAAAAATAAAGAGGATTGGCTCAGAGGATTTCTAAGGAGCATTTGAATTCTAACAATCCATGTTGTGGTAGAAATAGAGCTGGATTTGGAATCAGGAGGCCAGGATTCGAGCACAGTTCTGACACATATCAGCTATATGAACTCAGACAAGTCATTTAATCTCTAAGCCTTAGAGAGATTTACTTCACAGAGTTGGGAAGGATTAAAGGGGTTTTATTGTTGTCAAAAATGCTTTATCAACTGTAAAGAACTACCAGGATGTCAGGTACTCTGTATGTGTGTATATACGTGCAGATATATATATATATAGGGCTTAAAAATCAGGGCCTGTCCCTTAGCTTTTTCCACTCAAGGCTGGCACTCTACCACTTAAGCCACATCCCCACTTCTGGCTCCCCAGCTCCCCTCCCGTTAAATGGAGATAAGGGTTTCACGGACTTTCATGGCCAGGGTTGGCTTTGAACCATGATCCTCAGATCTCAACCTCCTGAGCTGCTAGGATGGAAGTTATACAACCAGGAAACGAGGGATGGGGGAGGGAGGGAACCCCAGGAAAATGCCCAGTATGTATAGTTAATTGTGCATTATACTCACTGTGCATTGCAGAATTTACCGTTTTGCTTCCCTAAAATATGTATGCTTTGACTACCAATAATACTGGCTAAAATGAAGAACAGGTACTCACGAATGGAGGCTGATCCCTGCAGGTGGCCAGCGGATTCTGGAATCTCAAATCCTGTGGGGGGGGTGGAGGGGGGGGAAACCAAACAGTGGACTTGGCATTTTGCTTGTGGTTTCAGGTGCACGGGGTAGGGTGTGGGGTGTCGGGGGTGGGGGTGGGGGTGAGGGGGACGGAGGTTAGCAAACGGAGGCCAAACACGGAGAGGAAGTTTTCTGTTTCTCAGGCAAGCTAGAAGAAAGTGAGCTGGGTTAGAGACACCCCTAAAGGCGTGTCCCATTAGGCAAACCCTTTGCATTCATTGGACCGACAGCCCCCCCTCCCCTTCCGGCATCTTTTCTGGGACCTTTATGAATGGAATTCGGGGATCCACGTTCATTAGCGCACCCTGGCCCCCATAATAATAATAATATTCAGCAAGACCGAGGAAGCATTTCCTTGGGAAAAGTCCCGCAAGCCCCCAGGCCCCCACCATTGGCGCCCAGCCACGGCGCGAACCGTCTGAATTGTCTTAGCACACCGAGTCCCCCGCTCGGAAACTTGCAAGATGTTCGTTTTAAAACAGCGGTTCAACCTTGCCAGAACCCTCTCGGCCCGTACCGCTGAGGTGACCCGAGCGAATCGCCACTGACTGACTGACGGGGCCGGGAGCTCCCAGAAGCGCGCTACCGGGCTGCCAATGTCTCGCGCCAGTACGCATGCGTGCCTGTCATCCGGGTGCTGGCGGCGGCGGCAGCGACTGCAGGTTGCGCCGGGGTGACGGACAGGGGGCGGGGCCAGCGGCTCATTGTGCGCAGCGTTGCGCGGCGCCGCCGGCCGCCCGGGTCTAAGGGTGGAAGTTGGCGCTGCTACCGCCGCCGCCGCCGCCGCCGCCGCCGCTGTCGCTCCACCGCCGCCGCCCTGCAGCCCCAGCGGCTGGCCTCGGTAGCGCGCCGCTCTCCTAAGATGGCTGCCGCGAGCGGTGCCGTGGCAGCTTCGGCTGCCTCAGCGCAGGCGGAAGGGAAAAAGATCACCGATCTGCGCGTCATCGATCTGAGGTCCGAGTTGAAGCGACGGAACTTAGACTTCACCGGGGTGAAGACGGTGTTGGTCTCCCGACTCAAGCAGGTGAGAGGCCCGGTGAGATCGGTGAAGGAAAGGGGGTGCGGGCGGCGCGGCGTGGCGGGGCCGGGGGGGGTGCGCTTAGGCCGCACTTCGGCTTTCTCCCCACCTTGGCGACCCCAGCCCCGGATCGCCCGCAGTTTTCGCCGGGACCCGCGGGAGGGAGGGGGGCGGTCAGCGCGGTCGTTCCCCCCCCCACCTACTCCACCCCACCTCGCCCCCCTGGGTGGTGGCGGCCGCATGCGCGCGCGCGCGCGTGTGTGTGTGTGTGTGTGTGTGTGAGGGAAGATGGGGACCCCCTCCCCCCCGGCGCCCCCCTCCCCCTCGCCCTGCACGCCGGGGCCCGGCCGGGCCTGTGACAGGGCCCCGCGAGCAACCCCGGGACCAGCCGCTGCCCCCTCCCCCCCTCCCGTCGCCTCACCTTCCCCTCCCCCACCCCGGGGCTGTGCGGGCTGAGGACCGGGCCGGGGCAGCGCGGCCTCCCCGGGGAAGAGGCGATCGAGGCGACCCCGAGAGTCGCCGGGTCCCCAACCTTGAGCCATGGTGAGCGCGTGCATCCCTCGGGCTCGGAGAGAATGGTTACTTGGGTGACTTGGGCGAAGTTACCGTTTAAATCGTGCTCAACCGTTTCCTCCCCATCTTGTGGGTCCGGGGGTGGTGGTGGTGGTGATGATGGTGATGGTGGTGTGAAATTGATGAGTAGGATTTGATGGGTGGGTGAGAGGAAGGTTTTGTTTTTCCATTGGAATTTTTGGTTTTAGTTTTGTTTCTCCCCCCCCCCACCCCACCCCCTTTTTGCTTCAGCGTCAAGATCTTACTTGAAAAGATAACCTGTTTCCATATCCATCCATCCAGATAGATGAATGGATATGTATATATTTTTCATCCTTGATGATCAGCTTACTTGGTTTATTTGAATGAGGCGTTGGAATCATTTTAGTAGAGGAGCAGTTAGGTTTGCGTTTACAGAAACTAGGAAAACTCTTTATTTTTCCTTTTAGTGAGCTAGAAACTTAGCTGCCCTAGAACACATGTAGGTTTTTCTTGCCATATGAGATGCGATGTTTAATTATCCACTCCTTTACAATTTAAAGCTCTGAGATTTTTCTTTTGTTTTGATACCCAGGGAAAGTTTCTTTCACCCTTTCCTGTAGGATTGCTTTTTTTTTTAAGTCGGTTTATGAAATAACTGACCCTTCTAATGTCTTCAGGCTTAAAGTTTGCTAATTTTTTTTTTCATTTCGTTTTTATAAAATAAGTTTAGATAGACTGTGTAGCATATTAACTTCTCTTTCTAATGTAGGCTATTGAAGAGGAAGGAGGCGATCCAGATAATATTGAATTAACTGTTTCAACTGATACTCCAAACAAGAAACCAACCAAAGGCAAAGGTTGTTATGAGTTATGAACATATTTTAAAATATATTTTGGTTATATAACTTGCCTCTGCTCTGTGCCACTTGCCCTGTTTATATAGTGCTACTCTGCTGTTTCCTCTGGCACTCTGCCTTGTTGGGTCAAGGAAGAAGGTACTGTTGCCAGGATCTGGGTAACTTGTAGCCCTTAAGATTCTACTGAAGCTAACCAGAAAGTATTCTGGTTCTTTATTACTTCCGGAAAAAGTACAAAGTTGCATACCACTCCTTACTCCTGTGAAAACATGAAGAATAAAGTAACAGCTTGATACATATCTACCTTGTCCCACAATTGGCAGAGTATTGATGAAATTCCTACCAAATTTTTCTCCTTTGCTTTTTGATGTTCTCCCTAGTACATCACCATTCTATAGCCTTTATGTTCAGTGTATTATTTGACTTGGTGAACTTCTTTTGCATTTATGCCATTACCCATTCTAATAATTTTCTGTTAAATTACTGTTGGTTTTTTTTTTTTGTTGTTGTTGTTTAAATCTTGTGTTACTGGGGCTTGAACTCAGGGCCTCATGCTTGTTAGGCAAGTCTTCTACTACTTGAGCCATAATCCTCCCTAGCATTCCCTTTTCAATGAAATTAAAAAATTCCAATCATACTAACAGGGTAAGGGGAAAAGTCTATGGTAATTATCCATAAAGAAAGCTTTAGTGTATATTAAGGAATTATATTATATATATATATTTTTTCAGGACATAGTGATTTAGCCCAAAGTGGGTTAATATGAATATTTTGTTATTAAGTTGGAATTAGATGTTTTTTCTTAAAGTATCTGGCGAGTGAGATTTGTTTTGTTTTTGGTCAAGGTGGTTGAACTCTGGGCCTTGGCACTGTCCCTCAGGCTAGCCCTCTACTACTTGAGCCACTGTGCCACTTCTGGTTTTCTGAGTGGTTTATAGGAGATAAGAGTTTCACCGACTTTTCTTGCCTGGGCTGGCTTTAAACCAAGATTCTCAGGTCTCAGCCTCCTGAGTAGCTAGGATTACAGGCGTGAGCCACTGGCATCCAGTGGGAGTGAGATCTTTATTTGCATAACTATACATTTCTCCCTCCCATGAAGGATTTTGACAAATGAATCTTGGTTCCAGGCTGTAATTTCCAGGCACAGTATTTCAAAGGCATCTGTAGCATTTTATGGTTATAACATTACTTTCTTTATTGCTACAAGTGCTACTACAATAACAGGATTGAATGGGTTGATCTCGAAAAGAAGTGAATATTCAATTTTGACCTTCATTGCACCTAGGTATCAGGACAAGGCCAACTCACTGTTTTGAGTTCACATTGATATAAGAATCCCTTGTTGGTGCCAAAGGAAAATTTAAAGGGCAAAGAAGCATTTCCTGGGTGTTAAGGGAATGGCAGAGATGGAATGAAGTTTAGAAGAGTAACAAAGTTACCTTGAATACCTTGGTTCTCAAGGTAATTGTGTATCACTTTGAGAGAGAAATTTGTATCACCTTGAAAGGTACACATCCCAGTATTTAGGGAAGCCTGCAGGGAGATTGCTCTGCTAGAGGCTGTTTCAAAATGAGGAAGATTTGGAGATAAGTATGTAAAGAATTAAGATTGTGTTGGGTGAGGCTTTTAATTCCTGTTTTTATTTGACTTGTTGTCAGTTTTACTCTAATACTTGAGTATCATAGTTGACAATTAATGATCTTAGCATTTGAAGTAAACCTCCTTGGGTTTATTCATGTCTTGCCTTTCAAATGAATTTTGGTGCTGGGGACCAAGTCCTGGGTCTGGTCTTACTGGCCTCGCCCTCAACCACTGAGTCATACCCCAGACTCTTCACTTAAATTTAATTTCTTTTTTAATCCTTCTATTTGGTTTTGATTGGAAACTTTAGCTTATCCTTAGCAATAATCTCAGTAATAAAAATTAAGGAAATTTTCAATTATCAGTCTGTTATCTTTTCTGTCATATAATTTATAAGAAACTTTATTTCAGAACTGATGTTTGAGTGTCTTAAAGTTCCACTAGAGTTGGAAGTTGCAGTGGTTATTCTTTCATCTGCAGTAGTAGCTAGTCTGTATTTGATGAGCCTTACTGTAGGGCAAACCTTATAATAGCTATGGACTCCTTGAATTTCACTTACTGTTCTAAAAATCACATATATTACAAGGAATATAATGCATATACACAACTTAAAATTAGCGTGAATTAGTGTATAATTACAATGCCTATTTGTTTCTTGGTGCTGAAGATGGAACTCAGTTTGGTTCATGCTAGACAGGCTCTACCACTGAGCTATTTCCTCAACCTCCTAAGATTATTTTAGTTTTTATTAAAACTTTTTTTCGTTAAAATAGGTTCTCTGTGTTGCCAAGCCTGGTCTCAAACTCATGAGTAGCTGGGTCTACAGTGTGTGCCACCATACCTAGCCCTATGTTTGTTTTAAATTAAGAGGGTTAAAAGATTTTTAAACCAAGAATATGAAACCTAAGTACTGTCTTTGTTCCATGAAGTTCTTGACAAATTTTATTTTACTTAGTGATATCTACTTTGAACATAATCTCATTTGGGTTACACCTTTTTAATTTTTTTTTCCTATAGTGAGTCTGTTTTTCTTTTGTAACATTGGAAATTTTCCTAATTTATTTCTAAGGTCCTTTTGGTTCTAAAATTTATAATTGTAGCCAAGATTGGGAAGAAAACTGCCTCTGCTCAACTAAAATAGGTATGTTAGGAAGGAATGGGAGAAGCCTATAGGCCTTCAGTGAATGTCCATACAATTTATTAGAAAAGGAAAATAGCAAAGAAGGGGACTGCTATCAAAGGCAGTTTTGTAAATCTCAAAAAAAGAATGACACATAATAGCTTATCAGGAATGGTAAGCATTCTTAGGGTGTTCTTAAGGCAGCAAACAAAATTTAAATGATTAAAAAAAATTAAGAGAGCAGTTTCATGGGTTTGGAAAAGTAACACAGATGAAATATGGAGTTTGTGCTATTAGAAGATAACTAGAAGGCAATGATTTTCTTCTTAAAAATTATATATTATGGCTGGTAGTATAGTAGTGGGTGAAGCCCTGGATTCAATCATCACCACATCCTCAAATATATATGTAAATATAAGTATATATAAATATATATATGTATAATTGTATTTAGACAAATCAGAGGAAAAGAAAGCTATATTTTAAGTATATTATGGAATATTTTTAGAATCTAATACCAAGCAAAGTTATGTTCTGGTGTTATAATAACATAAAGCTAATTTATCATTAATGTAGTCAGGTTTTTTTTTTAAATCTTGAATTGGTTCTTACTTATCATTTTACTATCTTTTTAAAAGATTTTTAAAAATAAGTTACCTAGATGAAAGAGATGAAATTGTCATATGATTTGGGTATGTAAAGAAAGCAGTTAAACAGGTAGAGCTCACTCCTCATTAGCTTCTTTTACAGATTATACATGTAAAGTGCTTTGATTTATCAAATAATGGAATATTATTTTCTTTTAGGATTTCAGTTGCTTTTAAATTTAAGCCAGTTTTGTGGTTAATCAGGATATCATTGATTATATGTAATGCAGTCACTGAGGTTGAAACTAGTTTTCAGTATGTCCAGGCTTTAAAAAGATTTAACATGCTATGTAAAATCTGATTTCTTTTTGTGAGAACATGTATGATTTGGGGTTATAGGTCTCATGAAACATCAAAAAATTTTTGAAAAGGAACCATTGTTAATATAGTTTATTATATGTTTACCCTGTAAATCTTGCCAAAATTGCCCCTCCAAAAAGTATATTTTATGTAATGTAGTCTCTGTACAATTCTTGTTCTTTCCCTTTAAAAAATCTGTGTCATGTTCCGATATTAAAAAAAAAAAGTAGAGGTGTGGCTCAAATGGTAGCTAGCCATCCTTGTTGAGTGGAAAAAGCTAAAGCAAGAGCACACAGCCCTGAGTTCAAGCCTCAGTACTGGGAAAGAAAAAGAAACTAATGAGAGCTATGACATTGAGGAAGATTTTGAGTACAGGTATTTGTCAGGTATTTCTTGGGTACCTGTTAGTCTGAAAGCTTTGTGATAGCCTGGACAACCTTGTTTGACACCCCTTTCTCTGTCATGGCAGACAAAATAGGTGCTCAGAAAACATTTGTTGACTGAATACTGAAGACCATGTGTTGTCTTTCTAGACTACTTTTTGATATTTCATCTCGGTGCCTATTTTAATTGCATTTTTATAGGAAGCACATACATAGATCTAATTGTCTCTACTGTCTTCTAAAGGGGTTCATTTCTTCTCTTTATGTGCTGGTGGGTAAAGTTTATCTACTTTTAGAACCTGTCTCATGGCGTTGTCTTTTTATTATAACCTTTACTAAGTTTTCACTGTCCTGGAAAGCTTTGCCCCTCATCTTTGCTGGAATCTCATCCAGACTCAGAGGTGGTTATATCAAGTGCACTCACCCATTACCTCAGCCTGTAAAACTTTCATTGTTCTTATCACCAGGGTACTTCCGTATGGTAGTTATCCTGGAGGAGAGACAGTTAAAATGTACTGTACTAATCTCTAAAGACAGTGTGCTTCCTGAAGTATGGAGAATGGACTTTAAATCCTCCTTTCCTTTTCCCCAGACTCAAAAACATCGATTGGGCAGGAATTGCTGAAAAGTGTTTTATATACTTATGAAAACTGAAAATCTCTTGAAGTTTCTTGTCATGAGGCTGTAGTAGAGTTGTGACTCACCCCATTTGATGTGATTATGTATATTTCTCATTGGCACGTTCATATTATTATGAGATACTGTTCCAGAAGCCACTGTGTGTGTGTGGGGGGGGATTAACTTAATAAAAAGGAAATCTTTTCTTAACCTTTCTAAAATTTGAAAATTATGAAGCTTATTTGGCTCCACAGGTTTCATTAAGAATTTGTGGGGAGCTGGGAATGTGGTTTAGTGGTAGACTGCTTGTCCAGCATGCATGAAGACCTGGGTTCGATTCCTCAGTACCACATAAACAGAAAAGACCAGGGGCTAGGAAGGTGGCTCAGTGGTAGAGTGCTTGCCTTGCATGCATGAGGCCCTGAGTTCGATTCCTTAGCACCACATAAGCAAAAAGAAAAAAGCCGGAGGTGGTGCTGTGGCTCAAGTGGTAGAGTGCTAGCCTTGAGCTGAAGAGCTGAGGGACAGTGCCCAGGCCCAGAGTTCAGGCCCCACAACTGGACCCCAAAAAAACCCCAAACAAAAAACAAACAAACAAAACAGAAAAAACCAGAAGTGACGCTGTGGCTCAAATGGCTTCATGCATGCAAAGTTTAGGATGAGACTGGTTAATTTCACTTTCATTTTCTATTTTGATTTATCAGACTATGATTATTGTACAGTTTATTTTCTTTTTTTTTCTCAAAGATTTGATTCTACATTAAACTTTCAATTTAGCCCCTTTGTCAAGTTCAAGATCCTTTTATTTTTTGTCCGTTGTAGGGCTTGAACTCTGGGCCTGGGTGCTGTCCCTCAGCTCTTCAGCTCAAGGCAAGTGCTCTACTACTTGAGCTACAGCGCCGCTACCAGTTTTCTAGTGCTTTATTGGAGATAGGATTCTCATGGTCTTTCCTTCCCGGGCTGGCTTTGAACCATGATCCTCAGATCTCAGCCTCCTGAGTAGCTAGGATTACAGATCCTCAGATCTCAGCTTCCTGAGTAGCTAGGATTACAGGCAAGGGCCACCGGCAACCCAGCTTCAAGATCCTTTTATTGAACCAGGTTGCATTTCTGCAGTACAGGTCAGATTGCCCAAGAAAAGTAGTATTGAAATTGTGAGTTGATTAATTGGCTGTCAGACTTTTGATAGCACAGGCTTAAATGAAGTAGATATAAATGTTTACTAACTATACAAAAATGTACTGAGGATCCAGGGCTGATGGCTCATGACTGTAATCCTAGTACTATCTACTCAGGAGGCTGAGATCTGAGGGTCACAGTTTGAAGCTGGCCTGAGTAGGAAAGTCTGTGAGACAGACAGACAGACAGACAGACAGACAGACAGACAGACACACACACACACACACACACACACACACACACACACAGCCAAAAATAGAGCTGTGGCTTATGTGGTAGAGTGCTAGCCTTGAGCAAAAGGAGCTCAGGGACGATCTCTAGGACCTGAGTTTAAGCCCCAGGATTGGCACAAAAAATAAAAGATACCCTGAGAGTTTTCAACTGATCTGTGACATCACAAAGTTAGGGACCTGTAGATGTAGTTTGTGGTGTGAATAATTTTAGGAGTATAGTTTTACTTGCAAGGTGGAGTTGCACTTGAGGCCAGTTAAATTGCCTTGTCACTTCTTTCTTACCTTTGTCCCAGTTGGGCCTAATAGAAGTTCAGACCTGGGACTTAATCATGTCATCTTAGAACTCAACTTCATTATTAGCAAGGAAATATGTAATGTTTGAGGATTTGCTGATTATATAGTGTTGCAGTGGGTTCTGGACTGTATAGTGCATATCATAGAATTTTAAAAATGGGTTGTATTTTGTAGGGGGGAACATAAAGGAAATAATTATAAGGTAGTTTATAATTCAGTATGTATAAATCAAGCCCCAAATTTCAGATTATGAAGTCAAAATCTAGTATGAAATTTCAGTTTTCTGACAAGCTATCAGGTCATTACTGTATTGGAAAATCTTGTCCTCTTCAGAATATATTATTAGCAACATTATCTCTTTAATCTCACTTCCTCTTTGTAAAGTGAGCATTTCAGAATAGTTAGGATGGTAAAAAGTAGCTGGGCGCTGGTGGCTCACACCTGTAATCCTAGCTACCCAGGAGGCTGAGATCTGAGGATCGTGGTTCAAAGCCAGCCCGGGAAGGAGAGATCGTGAGACTCCTATCTCCAATAAACCACCAGAAAACCAGAAGTGGTGCTGTAGCTCAAGTGGTAGAGTGCTCACCTTGAGCTGAAGAGCTGAGGGACAGCGCCCAGGCCCATAGTTCAAGCCCCACGACCAACAAAAAAAAAAAAAAAAGAGATACATACATTCGTATATGTAAAGCATTTGTTCCACTGTTTGGCCTACAGAAGCCATTTAGGCAGTTGTAGTGACTGTTGATTGTTCTTTATTTTCCTGTAAGTAAATCAAAGCAAGTGAAATTTATCATGGAGTGTGCCTGGTAATGTAGTTTGTCATTATACTGAATGCTGTCATTTCACAGATATCTTAAATTGAGTTAATTAACTCCTTACTTAGAATAATGCCCTGTAAGTAGGTCATAATAAAATGTAGTAGAGAGAATTTAGGACTGAATTAGAGATCTTAGCTTCCAGTCCTGGAAAGCCATCTGCTAGTCTGGGGTAAGTTACATAGTACTATACTAGTAAAATTGTGATTTTTTTTTTCCCACATGCTTTGCAAACGATCGGGTTATAATTACAAGGGGTAAATCTAACTTTTGTGAATGATCTAAAGGAGTGCTTCTCAGAGCTCCACCCATTATTTAGGTTATTCTTGTGAGCTTTTGTGAGGAAAAGCCTAAGATTTTTTTTTTTTTGGTGCCAGATCTCGGTCTTGAACTCAGGGTCTAGGCACTGTTCCTGAGCTTTTGTGCTTGAGGCCAGGGCTCTACCACGTTGAGCCACAGCACCATTTATGGCTTTTTAAAAATAGTTAACTGGAGGTAAAAGTCTCATAAACTTTGCTGCCCAAGCTGACTTGGAATCACGATTCTCAGATCTCATCCATCTGAGTAGCTACAAGGCGTGAGCCATTTTCCCATTAAATTTTTTGCACTGTGAAGCTTTCTTTGACACAAGAAAAATTTAATGAGTTCATTTTCATATGGTATTTATTTCCTCTTTGGCAAAGAGACATCTTTATTTTCTTTAATAAAGCACTTTCTGGTGGACAGGTTTTCTTGATGATTGTTCTTGTAGTTATTTCTGCTCTTTGACTTTCAATTGCAGGTAGGATTTTTATATTTAAAAAATGTTGTTTTTCAAAAATCCCACATGCAAGTGAAATCCCATGGTAAAAAGAATGATGGCAATAATTTGTATGATTTTAGAATACTAGAAAGTTGTGTTTTCCCTAAAATGAAAATGCCAGGCTGTTGCATAGGACATTCATACCACACTGAACTCCATCATTCATTTTTCATTTCCTTCTCACAAGGATTGGGTATTACTTAAGTAAAAGAAAAAAATCTTTTCTCCCATTCTTGCTTTTTATGTAGTTGGACCAGAGCTGTGTTCCCCTTTTACTCATTCATGGAAGAGTTTTGAGTTGGGAATATATGAGAGACTAGGGGAAGGTGGTATTCCTGAACAGGGTTTTTTTCCCCCCAAGTTATCCCAACAATGAAACCCTTTACCTTGGAGGTCACTGAAGATTGAGCTTGATCTGCTTGATACAGGCATGGTGAGGCTCATTAGTTGGCTTCTGGGGACAGGAAATCCACTTACATTTCAAAAGAAATAAAAAAAATGTTTTTAAAGCTTTAAATGTGTCAGTGGTTGTGCTTTTTTAAAAACCTTATTTCTGGTACAGTCATAGATTTTAAAACACATTTTTGTGGACTAGATTGAAGCCAAAACGTTTTAACATTGGCTTTGTGGAAAACTTTTTAAGACATAGATGATGTTTTTTTAATATTTGCAAATATTTTGGCAAAGTGTGAAAATGAGTTTTCAAAGGTCTCGAGGAATTAATGAAGGGCTGGGCCCGAAAGCCAGGGGTTTCAGGAAGTTAACTACTTTAATTTTGAAGTCATTTCTTTGTGCCTTGAATTAATGAGATCAATCATTGTGTTAAGTGAGCAGCATTATTCTGCTAAGGCTTTTGGAGAAATACAAAAGTTAGCTTAAAACCAGTCATTGTAATTAAGGACTTTCTTTCTGCATCTGGAGGTTCGATGACCTGGCAGTCATGAGAGTTGATAATCAGCTGATAGATTGTAAGCTGGAGGTGAAAATGAAACCTAGTTTCTAGAGAGCTTTACAAGAGGAGCATTTGGGAAAGGCTTGGTGGGAATAGTCTTGAACTTAGCTAGCAGGTGTCTGGTTACATACATAGTAAAATACTGTTGAAAGGTACTGCTATGATAGAGCTGAAGATAGAGCATTTAAGTGATATAAAGAAGAATAAGTTGAGATTGGCACCAAGAGTTTTTGTGAGGTGTCGTGGCATTGCTGATAAAGCTGCTTGTTTGGGACAGCTATGATCAGGTGGTTTATAAGCCGTTGGCATTAGCTTTGCAGATGATTTAGGAGTGAAGTGATATTGCAGAGTAAATTTGGAATGTATTTTGTTTTACTCTTAAAGTAATCAAATATTGGTTGTTAGCCCATTTTCCTTCTTTCACAGGTAAAAAACAAGAAGCAGATGAGTTGAGTGGAGATGCTTCTGTGGAAGATGATGCTTTTGTCAAGGTAAAGTGTTAATTACTCAGGTTAAGACATTTATTTCCAGTTTAGTATTTTGCATGATGAATTTCATGCATTTTACTTGAACAATAGGCACTGAAATGTGTAGGTTAGAGAATTAAACTCATAATTGAATACTAGAGGAAGTTACCTTTTCTTTAGCTAAATGAGACATAAAGCTAAAAATAATGTTAGTCCAAGCCTTCATGTGGAAATGTGAGACTAGGGACTTGGGGAACATCCTAGAGTAGTTAGTTAAGGTCCTGGACAGGTTACCACCTTGAAGGATAGTGGCAGTTTTCACCTGCTCCTTGCTTTTAGCTTTTGTATATATATATATATATATATATGTGTGTGTGTGTGACTTAAATCCATGTAGACCTTTAAGTGGATAAGAAAATTGTTAATATGTTGCTTCTTGGTAAGATCAAATTTGGATAATTGTTTTGCCCCATAAAGATAAGTAAGCCAGGTCTTTTTACTGAAAAAGGAATGTATCTCAAAATTTCTCTGTCAAGACAATAATGCATGTAACTTTAATTGGGGTTTAGAACTTCTATATGCTATAGATATAAAGCAATGTAGTTTAATAGTAGTTGGGATTTTTGTTTCCTTTTTAGGGAACAGTGACCTAGTTATTCATTGTTAGGTCTTAAGTACTGCGGCAGTTATAGGTATTTAGTGATAGTACCTCACAAATTATGCACATTTCTTTCCCCAAATATTCTGTTTTCTTTGTGTACCTAGTCTGTACTGGCATAATGTCTCTGGGTGTTGATGTGCTGTACCATTAAGTCATATTCATCTGCACACTGCTCCCTTTTACCTGTAGCTGTCCTTTCTCTTCCTTCTCAGAGTCCACATCATACCACATACTTCCTACTTTTGACCTAAGTGTCAGGCATACAGAAAAAGAAACCTTTAGTTGAGCTAACTTTGAAAACAGATAATTTTAGAAAATATTTGCTGGGTACCTATTTAAATGAATTGCATGCCTGTACTCAGTTTTTATGTGACCCTTTAAGAACTCTTGATTTTTGGTATTTTGTTATCCTTGTGGTAGGTCTGTTCATTTTTTCTTAATTTCTCTAGTTGTCTGTACTCATAAGCATATTATTAAACTATCCACATGCTGGAAAAACATTGTGACTTGTGGGGGAAATTTAAATGTCTTTTGGATCTTCAGAGCATGAAAATGTTAGTTGTTTGAAATGTTGTAAGGAAATAAACACTTCCATTCAGGAAAATAATAGTATTGTTTTGTATATGGGCTGTAAAGGATGCCTTTGTGTTATTAAATGGACCTGTTGTTGTAATTTGTAGGAGAGCAAAAAAAAAAAGCTCAATTTCTTTTTATTTTTTTCCACTTTGGAAATAGGAGCATATATGATATATTGGATAGAAATAAAGAGAATTTATTTTCCTAGTCTTTTCAAAGTTGACAAATAATTTATACAATTACAAAATCATATGGTGGGTATATATTACCTGTTGCCTAAATATCTGACTATGTGGATATTTCAGCAGTATAGAAATTGCTTTTGTGGATGAGGGAGGAAAGTAGTCAAAGTTGGGTTGAGGCCAGGTGAATTACTCTTATTTTTCCCTTGATAGTTTTGGCTTCTATTCTATTCTCATACTCCCAACTTGCCATGTTGTGGTACTTATACAAACCAGAGAACCCCTCCTAAGCATTCCACATTGTACCACAACCACAGTTCTCTGGGCCCACCTCCTTGCTAGAAAGTTCCAAATTCCCAAATTTCAGTCCAGCTACAAATCCTTAATAATCCTTGGCCCTGCCCTTTCTCCTTTAAATCTGCTTGACTTACAGTCAAGAGTAAAGGAATGGTCATCGCTTTAAACTCTTATCATTCAGTTCAAGAGGGAAAAGCAGATTAGTGTTTTTTGTTTCCAGTAAAATGCTTAGGGATCTTCCTGTGAAAAGCTGCCTAATTGGACTTGTGGCAGTAAGAAATTTCCAAACAAATACATTTAAGTTAGTTATTTACAGACCTTCCAAGGACATACTGCTAGAATAGTTGGAAGATCCTTTTTGTTAATTAGAAGTAAGTTTGGTTTAATATGTAAGACTTCTAGGGACTTCAAAATCAAACTGTAGAATATGTAGAAGGCATTTCTTTGAAGCCATGTCTTTTGGACAGCTCCTAGAATGTGAATAACTAGAATTTGAAGTTAACTCTTGTCGCAGTTCACTTAGCTTGCATTTTAGTGTGAAAGAGCTGAAAACTCAAGTACATGGTTTAATGATCCTTGGTGTCACACATCTATTTTAAAATACAAAGTTAATGTGAAAGGTAAAATTACTGTTAACTCTGGGAATAATAGCCAAATATAATCAAATTGGACACAGAGATGTAATTTATCAAAAACATTTGATAGATTGCCTCTAGTTGTACCAGATTTTCTTACCATTAAAAGGACTGTGAGTTGGAGAATCCAGAGGCACATGAACAAGATGGGAATGATGAACTAAAGGACTCTGAAGAATTTGGTGAAAATGAAGAGGAAAATATGCATTGCAAGGAGTTGATTCCTGCAGAGGAGTACAAGGAAGCTCATGAATTAATAGAGGCAGAACCTGTAGAAGATAGAGAAAAAGAGGACATCGAAAGTCAGGTCTTTAGCCAGTTTTGTTAAAACATGACACAGATTAAATTTTATTTTATTTTTCTAGTTCAATTAGAAAGTTCAGAATTTAAAAGTAATTTTTATAAGTTGCTTAGAAATTACCCATAATTCTCTCACCTAAGGTGACCATTTTGCTTATTTCACATAATTATATATTTTTACATAGTGATTATCATACCATAAATTGCTATTTATTTTGTATTCTGCTTTTACCATACAGCATAGTGATTTCATAATCCATGTGTTAAATCTGAATTTATTAGGCTGCTATCTTTGTTTCTGAATAATTGGTCTTGTAATGGTAGACTTTTAAACTCTTCAGCTTTTCCTCTCCCCATGCGCTATATGGCTCTGTGAGTATGCCAGTTTCAGTCTAGTCTTGCCAATATTAATGTGGTGGTAAGTCTCCACTCCCCTTAATAAGGCTCTTAACGAATGGATACCTTTCTCTACTCCAATAAATATAAAAATGTATGCAATTAGTTTCCAAGAAAATTATTGTTAAGTAGACAACTTTTGAAATCTTTCCTTTGAAATAGTCTATTTGTCCTGCCTTGAAGTATATTAGTATATCTTGAGAAAATCAGTGGATTAAGGAAGTCAATACTGCTGGTGTTCATGCTTAAAACATTTCTCTACCATGCAGAAATGAGGGACTCAGGACTTTCCTTTTCCTCAAGTAACTATGATTGATGTTTTTCAGCACTGATTTAAGACCCACAGTATCACAACACAAGGCAAATGATAAGTCAGATAGAAGCATAAGAGCATTCTCACGCTGCCCAAATGTTTTGTAAAGCAAAGCTATTATATACCCTTTTACTTAGGAAATTGAAGCCCAAGAAGGTGAAGATGATACCTTTCTTACAGCCCAAGTAAGTTTACATTTAGTCCTATGAATTTGATATTGTGGGGGAAGGGCTTGGAAAAGCAATCTCCATTGGACTTCTTAATTCTTTAGTTCATAAAGCTGCCTTAAGCTTAATGCGGAATTGTTTTTGTGGTTCATCCAAAGTACGTCAACCATTGGCAGCTAAAGTTTCTGTTGCCATAGAGGTAATTAGGAGTTGTTAGGAGGTAGCTGTCATGTTCAGTTAAAAAGCTCATCCTTTCTGTAAAATAGTATAGAATTCTTAAAAGAAGCTTTGACCAGTCCATGAGCTTCTTGATTTTTTTTTTCCTAGCTCTGGTATAAAATCAGACCTTTTGTAAGTTTTTGTTACCATTTCTAGGATGAACTTAGAAGGGGAAGAAAATCTCTACTCTCCATGTTGACTTGGTATGTGTGTATGGAAAATGGCTGGACTTTAGTGTGATGAAATTTATTTTGGCGTATATGACACATGTAGTAGATGTTTTTTTTAAAAATATAATTTTATTATTAAGGTGATATACAGAAAGGTTACCATTTCATAAGTCAGGTAATGAGTACATTTCTATTTTTGGACATGTCCCTGTCTACAAGTTATGATCACATTTGTTCATCCTTCATAAAGCAAAAACAAACACTACCAACAACTAACTGTAACAACAGAAAACCCATTGTTTCCACCTTCTGGAATTCATTTTGATAAATAGTATTTTAAATGTTCTGAGAAGTTATACCTTTGGATTCCTCTTGTAAGGGTATCCTCCTTAAGTCTGTGTGTGAATGCCTAGAGTCCTATGTAGGTTATCACATCTATGTTGTAAATCTTAAAGTGTAATTTATAAATGCTATAAACATGTAGCTCAATTTGTGCAGTTTTAAAAAATTGTCTTTTTCTCCTGTT